TGTATAAATGATGTGTTTTAGTCTGCTGCTTGGCCTAGTCCACGCTTCATCTGATGTATTTCAGTCTGGTTGACCAGTCAACGCTTCATCTGATGTATAAATGATGTGTTTTAGTCTGCTGCTTGGCCTAGTCCACGCTTCATCTGATGTATTTCAGTCTGGTTGACCAGTCAACGCTTCATCTGATGTATAAATGATGTGTTTTAGTCTACTTGGCCTAGTCCACCTTATCATTAACTCTTTCTTTACCGCTATCCTTGAAATTTATCCACATGAAAATAATATATTTGGAGGTCGTAATCAAATATTCATGTGCTGTGCAAAAACAAATACTTTGTTTACTTCCACATCTCTTTTGATGGACTTTATGCAGAGTCCATGTGGATATTTTTAGAGTAAATATGCGCTTCACTCAGATGTTCCTGGAATACAAATTAAAGTACTGCATGGTTAACAAGGGTTATGGTAACTATAGCAGCGGCATACACATGAAGTATATACAAATAAGTACAACTTAAGACACAATAAATCGAAGTAAAGACTACATATCACCATAGGATCTGGTCTTGTTTTTCGATTTGGCTTTATAGGATAATTGGTCTGACTCAGTACAGGTGGCAAATCCTCACGGCTCCCTTCTCCGCCAAAAATCAATGTTTTAGTGGTAAAGAAAAGGACTACCGTTTCCAGCATAATATTAAAAATGGAGTACTTTCAGTGTCCAACAGATAACTTACCGTCAAGTGATGAGCTACTCTCGCCAACAGTGCATATGTATGTTTAAACTACGTAATAAATGTAAATATTATAAATTTCATTACGTTTTTTTTTCTCGGGAGGGGAGAGGGGAATCGCCAAATGTTAACATGTAGATATGATTTAACGTGTTATGTATGTTAAAACAAACGACATTGTATCGTTAAGGGGTACAAAATCAATTAAATTAGCAAGTAGTAGCTGGAACAATACAAACAACAAATATAATAATATTCTATTAAACAATATTGTTGTATTTGGCTGAGTGGAAAACCTGGCTACGCCACTGAAAAACGTCTAACTTTATTCTATAGGTGAAAGCCAAAACAGTAATGTATCAACATAGTTTTGGACACCAGTCGATGGCTCTTTAATAGGACTTTTGATAACGTGTTACGGAATGAAAAATCTAAGCGATCCAGTGCCCAGATGTGAATCATGGTAAATCAGTAGTGCCCTATATATATATATATATGTATGTAAGTGACGTTCTAATTCCGATTCACGATTTTGTAAAGCATTAAGGCTAAGTATAATAATTAGATAATCACAAACGCAGCCTTTGTAGCGAAATAGCAACTGATAATACCTAAGGATACTGATGACTGTTTGGTAATGAAGAGAAGGGGTGGTAATGATTTGGAAGAATTAAATAGTTGGCCGCTTCTATTGGTTGAACCATAGTAGGAACTCTTTTTATTGAAATCCATTTCCGAAAACGTAAAGGGATTGATGACGAATCCAGGTTAATTGGTTTGTCCATAACAACGGTGGGACAAGGCTTTTCCCGCTTTTTTTTTGGGTGCAACGTTCGCCTAATGACTACTTATAACGCCTTTCGATGACATGGTGATCTTTTATCCGGATATCCAAAACTTGTTGTTTCCGTGTTTGTATTTCCTACAATTTTTAAGGTAAATATATATATATTCACAAAGTGCACAATTCAGAACATATATATATATATAGACAATTACATAGTAGTTTGCTTTGATGACCTCACCAAACAATGGATTATTTATTGATGAGTGATTTGGCGCCAAAACACTCGGGGGATGTGGAATATGTTCTATGGTGTAAGCACAAATATAATTCCATTTGTTAGACAGACCAAGCAGTATCCAAACGGCTATGTTAGAATAATGTGTGAGTCAATAGGGTAAGGCGGTGTAGGGAAGGGGAGGGAAAGCTTTTGTATACATGATCATAATATCACAAAAGAAGATATGCATATATGTGATTTTTATAATGGCCGAGAGGAAATGTAAAGCTTTTAATAATTGGACACGGGCAGCCAACTGAGATTAAAGCTGACTGGTCACGTGATCTGCTACCAACTGTTGTGAGGAGGTCTGTTAATGAGCGAACAAGCCACAAGGGATCGGTCGTTGAAGCACATTTTTACATTGGTCGTTACGCCAATATTACTACTTTCCACCGGGATTCCCCCCCGTGAAGACTAACTCAATCTGATTTTTATACACGGAAATTATTTATTTATTTCGTACGGTTTCGTAGCTTGTTCTAAATGGTAAGTAAAAGTAAATCCCTTTTTCTCTTGGCAGATATAAGAACTTATCTAAAAACTATGAGTTATTGGGTGGTATGGGGTATTCGTCAATAATTGGAAATCACGTGTGAATAGAAAATATAATTGGTTAGAAGTAAGTTGAGTTTTAATATATAAAATATTTGGAATAATTTTCTTTACCATTTGCACAGTAGATATGTATATATTGTACGTATATGTTTAACAAAAATCATTCACTGTATGTAACGCAGCTTTTAACCACATTATTATATTAATTATCATGAGAAACTGTATACAAGGAAAACAACGTTTCGTGGTTTTTAATAAGTTTGGAATATCCGAAACGGAGTTGTTCTTATGACGCAATGTAGGTATATTAATATCTGGAGTACAAGAAGATGCAGTTGGGATTATCCAGTGATTGTATTGTATTGATTACTGTGAACAATAAGTTACTTACTACATTTTAATATTGTTCTGTTAAAACAATGTTAAATGCTGTATTTAGTCACCATATGAACAGCAAGTAACCACAAGACAGTACCGCTCTGTTAAAATATCAATCTTAAATTCAGTTACTGTGAATAGCAAATTATTTATTAAATAAAATAACGTTCTATTATTACAACAACATTGTATTTAGCTACTATGAATGGTAAGTTATTTCGTAAAATAAAATAATGTTTTGTAAAAATAACAATATTATACTTAGTAACTATGAATAACAAACTATCTATTAAATATAACAATGTTCTGTTAAACAATATTGTTGTACATAGTTGCTATGAATAGCAAGTAACTTACCACAAGACAATAATGTTCTGTTAAAACAATAACGTTGTACATAGTTGCTATGAATAGCAAATTATTTACTACACTACAATAACATTTTGTTAAAACAACAATGTTGTTCTTAGTTACTATGAATAGTAAGCAACTTACCACAAGACAATAATGTTCTGTTAAAACAATAATGTTGTACTTTGTTGCTATGAATAGTAAATTATTTACTACAGTACAATAACATGCTGTTAAAACAACAATGTTGTACTTAGTTACTATGAATAGTGAGTAACTTACCACAATTGTTTAGTTACTATGAACTATAGTAAGTTACTTATTACTAAACAATAAAGTTCCTAAAACAATAATGCGTAGTCAGTTACTATAATAACTGTGTTTTTGCTTAACTTTAACAATCGAATCGCTGTTTATAAAATGAAATAAATTCATTATTGTGATTATTTTATTACAAAAAAGAGCGTTATAGTTTATATGTGTTAGTTTTAACATGATCATTCTGGAAAGTATTTTAAATTATATATGGAACTTGAAATGCCCAAAATCCAAGTACTTCTTCAGTTCTCCGCCAGTAACTAAAGCGAAACGTAATACTCAGTGAGGGAGTCTGATTATAATGATTGGTTACATGTATTTTTTATAGTTATCCTATTTGGTATTTTGGAAAGTTTTACTGACCACAAGTGCCCTCGGAAAGGTCATTAACCATCCTACAAATTATGGACTTCGAGAAGTTAGGGAGTATCCAGCAACCGGAGCTATGGGTGCCGGACCTTTTGGTAAGTTCTGATGCAAAGAGAAGACACAAATGCGCTTTGTTTGCGACAAAAATGTATAGATACAAAATGATCGGAAATGGTATTTTGTCGGCTTACTGCAACATCATGACCAAAGCTTCAAATTTTTCAGACATGAGCCGTTGAACTTTCCACCGTCAGAAAAAGTTCCTCGTCTTAATAAAAATCTTTAATTTGAGTTATCTGTGAGATAAGTGTTTTAATTTCAAAGTTTTTAAAAAAAAGAAAACATATACCCCTAACAATGGCTAATGCGAAATGAACGTTTTTGATATTCATAATGTTTTGGGCTGGGACGCCCTTCCTCTGGTGATTTTAAAACTGTAATTACAGTTGTTTGCTATGCGACAGCCTTCCAGTACAAAACTAAGCACCGTAAAAAAGGGGGGTTGGTGGGGGAGGGGGTATTTCAGCTGCTACTATAATTCCGACCGTTTGATTTTTAAAATATCATCAAAGGCTCGCGGTGACTGTTTTTCTGGAAATCACTTTTACAATATACGCAGCGCTCTTTGACCATGACGGCCACAATCAGAATCGTGCGTAATTTGGACCCAAACCCAGACTAGAACGTGGGATCGACTTACGCTTCAACAACCTCAACCTCTAGAGGGTAGAAAATACTTGTATTTAGCACAACCACATTTGAAATAGCATCTTACGAAAAATGGTTTTTGGCGTTGTACTGTTATATTTGTTACTTAACATAATTTGGTTTGTTTGTTTGTTTGTAATTAAGCACAAAGCTACACATTGGGCTATCTATGCTCTGCCCACCTTGGGTATCAAAACCCGGTTTCTAGCGTTGTAACGTTGTAGCGTTGTTTCTAGCAGACATGCCGCTGTGCCACTGGGGGTAACATGAATTTGTAGCACACAGAATATCTGAGTGTAACGTTCAGTTCCATTAATTACCACATGTTGCTATAGCAAAGAAAGTTGTTCGAGAAGATCTGTTCCTGCACTTTTCGTTAATACCACACCGAGCATAATTGATATAACACATTTTTGTTTTAAAAAAGTGTGTTTTAGTTAACGTTTCACAACAGAGAATTGTTTCTAGTTTAACATTTAAAATTTGATATACAGCGATTGGTATTTAACACCGATTCCCTTCAAGTTGTTCTGGAGTGCTGGATTAAAAAATATTTAATATCTATGTTATACTTTTGATCCTATTTCTTTTTTATCACATTGTCTTGCCCCCCCCCCCACCGTGACACAGCAGTATGTCAGTGGACTGGTTTGGATACCCATGATGGGCAGAGCACAGATAGCCCATTGTGTAGCTTTGGGCTTAATTACAAACACATTGTTCATTTTTTTTTAAATTTCCATCAAAAATCTTAAATGTTTGCAGGTAAGTAGAGGGAATGCTAATTTCTATCTTGTTTTATTAATTAAAAAACAAGATAGCTTCAGGGTTTATAACGCTAAAATTATGAGTTTGACCTTTGTGGTGGGCATGGCACAAATAACCCTTTATGCGGCTATGCACTCAATAACAAAGGAACAAGTATATATTACGACCTTCACACAATTACTGTAACATTAACATTTTTTTTCTTTTTATATCTGAAATAATCCATCTGTCTGCTTATTTAAGGTTAGTAAGTTTGTTTGTTTTTGAATTTCGCGCAAAGCTACACGAGGGCTATCTGCGCTAAGGTTAGTAAGAAATAACCAATTACATAGTTATGAAGTATTTTTAAGCTTAGATTTTTATATGGAATTATCATAGTCACTTCTAATGTGTTGAAACTGGTCTAATGACGGATTCCAATAAAACGCTTGTTTTTATTAATTGTTTATGCAGTTAACTAGAATGAAATTCAAATAATGCTCTCCACTAGGATTCGAACCCGGATACTAAACACAACACGTACCGAATACTATCGCAAAAATGTCTTCTAAAATGAGTTTTAGGCTTCAAAATGCCTGTTATCACCCAAAATGGTCTTGTCGATGTTTCCGAATGATTTATGATATATTAAAACTCTCAGGATTATGGTTTCAAATCCTACTTGCGCTAAGTTTCACCTTTCAAAAAATAATGGTAAATTTGTGATAATGACATTAAATTTTTGACGACGTCCTATGATTTATACTTAGTATGCTATTAATTGATTTATTTTCTCTATGTTACAGCATCCATGGAGCCTCAGAAATCTCCATTATTAGCAGCTACTTACTACTTCGACCCAGTCTCCGGTAGAAGTCAGAATTTGGAACAACTTGGGCTCAATACGCAGTCCATCGTTCGGTCCCTCAGTTCTAAGGAAAACGAAGTAGCATTGGAAGCCTGCGTAGCAGCCGACGGACGCGAGGGCACGTGCTATGACGCATCTTTCTGTATGGAACTGGGTGGGGTTCCTATGGGCCAGTGTGAGGACAGTGGTAGCAGTGTGTGCTGTTTGTGTGAGTATATTACATTGTATTTCTCCCGAGAGTGGAAAATCTGGTTTTTATACTCGGCAGGACGGATCCGTGTTTTAGTCTTACCAGATTCTTGAATGAATACCGGGAAACAATATGGTTCGTTTTGAATTTCGCGAAAAGCTACACGAGGGCTATCTGCTCTAGCCGTCCCTAATTTAGCAGTGTAAGACTAGAGGGAAGGCGGCTAGTCATCACCACCCACCACCAACCCTTGGGCTACTCTTTTATCAACGAATAGTGGGATTGATCGTCACATTATAACGCCCCCACGGCTGAAGGGGCGAGCATGTTTGGTATGTCGGGGATTCGAACCCGCGGCCCTTAGATTGCGAGTCAAGCGCCCTAACCACCTGGACATGCTGGGCCGCGGGAAACAAATAAGTTATTCAAACTGTCTGAATATATTTTTATATATTATACTCTGATAAACTTTGACCTCTTTCTGCGAGGGCAAAACCTACAGAGCACTTGAACCGTTTGGGTTATCTCTGTTTATTTTCTCTTCATTCCTGCTGCGGGCCGAGCGTGGCTTAGTTGTTAGTGTGATAACACCATTAATCTGAGTGTTCATGGTTCACATCTTTTGCCACAAAAATGCTCCCCGAACTTTAGGATGCTGTAAGGGTGACAGTCAAATCCCACGATTCTGTCAGACTAGAGTTATCCACGAGTTGGCAGTAGAAACTGTTCATTATATTCCTTCTAGTCCACCAGTCTATGAGCAGATAGCCTTTTGTCTAGTTTTGCGCAAAGATTCTAAAACAAACAAACTGCCGGTGTTGACTTAGTTGCAAGCTCTCCCGGTGGAACAGCGGTAAGTTTAAGAACGTACAACGTTAAAAATCGGGGGGTCACATCCCCGCGGTTGGGACAACAGATAGTCCAATGTGGCTTTACTTTAAAGCAAACAATTTTTCTTTGTTTGTTTGTAATTAAGCACAAAGCTACACAAAGGGCTATCTGTATTGTGCCAACTACGGGTATCGAAACTCGGTTTCTAGCATTGTAAGTCCGCAGACGTACCGCTGTGCCACTGGGGGGGGGGGG